CTCTAACCCCAATGACCGCAACTAAACACTCTGAATTCCTTAGGGTGGTGCCAGTCTCATCTTCTTAGTTTTCACACACTCAGGCTGCCGGCTGAGGAGATGCTTGAGATTCTTCTCACTCTCTCCATGACCTTGGACCTCTTCACTCAAGCCTTCCATCACAGTTTTTCAAACTTGGCAACTTTAAGATGTGTGGACTTCAACTCCCAGAATTCCCCAGCCAACATGGCTGGGGAATTCTGGGATTTGAAGTCCACACATCTTAAAGTTGCCAAGTTTGAACATGGCTGGGGAATTCTGGGATTTGAAGTCCACACATCTTAAAGTTGCCAAGTTTGAACATGGCTGGGGAATTCTGGGATTTGAAGTCCACACATCTTAAAGTTGCCAAGTTTGAAAAAAACTGATAAATTTTTATCTCCTTTCCTGCTGAAGGTTTAAAAATTGATTTTACGTTCTTTCCCCCCCTCTTTTTTAATTAACAAAGTTTGATTTTACTTACCCCTTATGAAATTAGTCTATTTCCAAAAGGCAAAAGGGAGGAAGAGATGATTCCCCTAGGTGCATACCTTAACATTATAGGAACAGGAAGTGGCACTATAAAATGCTTTCCTTTTTATCTTTATTTTTCCCTGTTTAATTTGCCAGAAAAGCAACAAAATTGTGGGAGCTGTATCCCTCTTACATACTTGGGGTGGGGCGAACACCCCTGGAATAAAGGCAGTGACACCAGTAACTACCAAGCCTCTACACTAGTATTTCCCAGCCCTGGCAATTTCCAGGAATATGGGCTTCAAATCCAAGAATTCCACAGCCAACATGGCTACTGATGAGAATTCTAGGATTTGAAGGAGATAAAACAAGGATGTATAGAAAACTTCTGGAAGAGAAGACACGAGACCTTTCACACTGCATGCTCAGCCATGCCACATTCATTGAGCAAACTCCTCTGTCATTTGAAATCTTCTTTCTGCATCGTACACTTTACCTGGATGCACAGAGAACTCTTGGAAACATGCCTATCTGTCAAACCCATTTTCCCAACTATACTATTGCTTTCCCCATTAAGATGTTCAACATAAATATAAAACCACAAATACAAACATAGGGACTCTTCTGTAAAACAGCCATGAATAAATTAACATGTACTTCTAGAAAAACTTTACGTAAAATATTGACTGACCAAGCAAAATGGCTTAAAAACTGACTTCTGTAATACAAAATATTTGATAGAATGAAGATCCACTATAAAATTGTGTTTTCAACAGGGAGTTCTCTGGAGAAATTTGTGTGTGGTCTTTGCAATCAGTTTCAAATTCTCCATTTGAAGTCTGAACACCCAAGCTCATTTTCAAGGAGTGATGATAAAAAATACAATATATGAATCAAAACCATGCAAACTTTTGGTTTAATTTTTATCAGGAAATGTATTTTTAAAAATTAAAAATTACCTGTAAGATAGAAGAAGAGGTGTCAAAGGTCCTTCCAGAAGGGGGGCTAGAAAAACAAGTACCCAGCCATGGGAGGAGATGAGATTTTATTATTTCCATACCCGCATAATTGCCACCTGAGTCAACAAATAAAAAGGATGAAAAAGACATATGACAAAATGTTTTAAATGATTAGGTATGAATCAATTTCAACAATACATGCATACACACAAACACATGCTACACATGTACCGTATAGAGCAGGGTTCCCCCAAGTGATCAGTATCGACCCCCAAGGGTCAATGGGACTATCCAAGGGGTTGATAAATGTCTGGGGGTCAAAAGGGGGTCAGTAAATATCTGAGTGCCAATAGGAACAGGCTGAACCTGGAAGAACGTGGTGACTTACAACTAAAACTCACCAATCTCCAACCAAAGTGCCCTTGATGCTCATCAGATGCATCCTTCCCATTAATGATATCAACAGTTTTGGTAAAAAAGGTATGTTAAATCTTATATTTTTCATATTTTAAATCTTACCTATTTTTATGAAGTCATTATTTAGCATTGTTATTGTTATTATTATTCATAGCACTATTACAGTAGTATTTATTAAATTATTTTCATATAATAAATGTTTGGGAATCGATGAACAATCTGAAACTTCATGAAGGGATCAATGAGTTGAAGAGTTTGGGGGCCTCTGCTATAGCACAATCTCACCTTCTCGACAAGCTTGATTGAGAATCGAAAACAATTGTCCCTGAATCATGGAGTTCAATTTCATGATTTCACAGCACAGAGTCAAATTTTGATCACATGAATTAATCTGAAAATCAGGTAAATGTTCTTGATTAATCCCATTTTATCCATATTATTCCTTCAGCAGTCATTCTTACTTATAGAACAAATCTGAGTCAGAAATACAATTTTATATCATATGTCCCTCCTGCTGAGTAGGAATGAGAGAAATTATGTTTTAATATATCTGGGGAAAGGTAGCCTAAACCTTTTCTTACTTTTGGCCATACTGATCATGGGAAAGTTTTGCTTGTTTATTGAAAGATCACCTTGCAGATGGAACTGAGTAAATATGTAATAGTAAACATAATAAACCAAGGATTGAGATGCGAGCCGCACCATCATAGGAGAGTACAGAGAAAAAACAGTCACACTGACTTAATAAATAACCAACTTCATTAGCAAAGAAAACTATTTTCAGTTTACAGTATGTTATTTTTCAGTTATTCCATATGCTTATATATAATACATTAAAAAAGGAGAACCTTTTTACCCACGTTACATTTGGAATTGTGAGAGCATGTGGTGGACACACTCACAAAATGGGTGTCTTGTGAGACTTCCTCATTCACAAAATGACTAACTTTGTGGATTTCACAGGCTTTATTGCAAATAAATATGATGCAAAGTTTGTGCTTTTCTTCCCATTTATTTATTTTTGTAATTTTTAAAATAATCAAATGGGACAGGAAAACTGATGGGAATCAAGTGAAGTGTCACATAGTTAGATTCTGAGATCAACAATCTAATCAGGAATAATGTTTTGCATCCACAGAAACCCTCCCATGAAACTGGGAAAAATATATGATCTATACAGTCTACTGGAACATGGTTTCATGAGGTGGAATGTTAGGCTTCATTCAGACCTGACTGCAGCATCAGATGATGACCGGTATGTGTGAATAAGCCATGGCGGATCAAGTTCCAGAAAGAGAACTCTGTGGTATCACTACACAGTGCAATGATCTTCAGTTCAACCTGTCCATACATTGAGCTGTCAGACCTCAGATGAAATTGGGTAGGACCGAATGGATCCTTAATTTCCTATCACCTCCAGCTCATCTCAGTATATTTAAAGAAAATGTACAGAGAACTCACCTCAAAAAACAAACTGATACATCTCAAAACCATTCGTGTCCTAAAGATGCAAAATACAGTTCCAGAAGTCTGAAATGGCCCTGATATTCATCAATAAAATATTAAAATGCTACTAAGAGGAAAGAATGAGTATGTCCTAGTAGAGCAACACAGCTTGTAATGGGCTCTTACAATCATTCTCCGCTGTTGACCTGAGGACAAAGATTGCATCACACTGCAATGATCAAGACATGGATTATATTAAATTGTAATAGAAACTGCAGAGGTAGCTAAACCATTTGCTATTTACTTCCAATGGCAGACTCTATCCTCAGCCATGAATAGTTGTTATATCTCAGTTCAATCTGCCTCAGGAGACTGTTGCAGGAACAAAATGAGAACTGGCTGCCAAGTACTCTGTCTGAGCATCTTGCAGGAACAGCAGAATAAAAATCTAAGAACTAAAAAGATTTTACAGGATGTCATTCTAACCATGTGAAATGTAAATACTAAGGAGGAATAGCCTCCCAGCTATTCTATACTATAAACTATAGACTATAAACTAAGGATGTAAATGTAAATGTAAATGTAAAGACTGCTCCAAACTGAGCTAAGCTTCTGCCTCCTGGTGACTTCAGGGACGCTCCATGTAGTCTAGTTTTTAATAGTGCCAAAGTGATTTCCCCCTGGTATCATTGGGAGGTTTTTCAACTTTCCAGTCCAGCTAATAGCCCTGGTGTGTTTCCCTTGCCTAAATAGCCTTTTCCGATCAGCCAAGGTCGCCTAAGCGCTATCCGTGCCAAACTGGGGTGTGGGAGGAAGAAAAGAAACTTGAGTAATCAATAGTTACAAATAATCGCTGGTCTAAGATGTTGTCGGTATACCATTACGTCCTGTAACTGTGGCAACCACAACACTCCCTCTTGGCGCTGAAATCCAGCGTCCTTGGTTACTGTTTTCCCGGGAAATCGCTAGAGGTCTCCAAGATCCACTAAGCAGAGATCCATCTCCCGCCATACACTTGGATCTCAACCCCATTCGCAAATCAGATTATGGCAGGGCTTTTCTGTCCCTTAAGAAGAGGATTCGGGAGAACGTTCGTTCTTTGACAGCCGCGTTGGAAGCCCGTCACCCCGACATGCATTTCCCCCCTCACCTCCTCTTGCTTTTGCCGGAAGAGAAAATAATATTTCATCACATAAAAAAATCGGTAGAGGTTATTAGAACATCACCATATACATATACCAGCCACCCCATCGTCTCCAGATGCTCTCTCGGAAGACAATCAGGCGTTTTACACACTCACGTGATAGTCTTTATACCAACTTTCCAGCTTCTCCTGTAAAATCCTGCAGGTCTCGTTGTTGATCAGTCTTCTCAGGGTGTCGGCCATACCGCCCAGAGATGGCGACAGAAAGGGTGAATAGAGACTCTAGGCGATGAGGAGAGGTGCCTTCTCTTCCAACGTAGCAATGGGCATCGATCTCTCTTCTCCCCAGGGGTTTTGGTTTTCGCCACCCCGGAGGTCCCAGCGAGGAGATCGGCGAGGAGATGTCCTCAACTGCTGGTGGCCTCCAAATGGGCTTAGCCTGGGATTTGCCCTTGCAAGCCTCCTCTATGATTGGACCATTTTATACTCGGTGATTGTTAAACAAACTGACGTTTGCTGTGCTCGGATGTCAGGGACGCCACGGCTGCGCGGAAAGAGCCCAGTTCTTTGGTTGTAGCAACGCCGAAACCCCCACCTTCCTTTGCTCTGCCCTGCATTCCTCTTCTCTAAACTCAGGGACCCGGGAGGAGCGCTCCCCCTTTGCCCAAGGGCAAAGGAGATGGAGTCTAGTGGCCGCTTGAAAATAAAACGCGTTGGAAGATCTCCTTCCGAATCACTCGATCCCCCACATGGTCTTTCCTTTGGCTGCCAGCTTCCACCACCGATGACCAACCGATGCCTCGCCTTGGCGAGGTTTCCGGGGGGGGGGGGTTGTGAGGCGCACAGAACCACAAAGCGACCTTTATTACGCGCTGCCGCAGACAGATACTGTCGGGGGGAAAAGATAGGATCCCGTCAGGGGTTCGGGTAATGAACATAATATTGCAAAGGCCGCACTTCTGGGGCTCTCGTGGCGGGCG